TATAGATAACGATATAGATATAGATATAGATATAGATATTTTTAAAATAGTATAAAAGAAAACTTATATATTTTTAAAAAATTAAATAGCTTTTTTTTACTGTGCATAGATGTTTCAAATGTGAAATTTAGAATTCTAAGTTGCACCCCACAATTTTATCTGTATTAGTATATTATTTAAATTATTAATAGTATTATCACTGCATATAATGTATTCAATAGGGATGTACCTTTTTATAACTAAATTGACTATATTTTATAAACCTTTATTAATATTTTAAATTATTTATTAAGTTAGTGTGATTTAAACATAGTTATTTTGATTATTTTATTATATATTTTAAGTGCTTCTGAATAGTAAATATAATTAACTAAATATAGTTTCTACAACCATAGATGATAATATATTTAATCAAATAAATTTCCATAATAATATTTTGAATTATGTCAATAAATTACTATTAAATTAATATAATATCTCATTGAAAATATATCTAATAAAACTACGGTCAAAATTTCAATTTAATACAATTTGTAGTTACTGAGTAGTAGTCACTGAGTGTATAAAAAATAACATGTTTTTCATGCATAAGATTTGCTAATAAATAAATTTTAATTAAATTTCAAATATAGACGAAAACATTTCCCGCCTAAAATTATGTTAATTATAGCAATAAGGATTGGTCCATTATATAGATATAGATACAGATGGTACATATATATATATATATTATTAAATATATGGTGAAAAGTCATATTAAATTTTATTTTTTACATTTTCATACTGAATGATTCTCATAATTATATTGATTTTTTATTTTTAGAAAAATTGAAACTAAAATTTATGATTATTTTTATATAGAATGTTTACTTAAAATTCTCAATTTAATAGCTTTTAAAAACTTCAAATATAATAATTATATTACGCATAGGCGACACTAATTGAAAATTGAATCAGGCTGAATAATAGTGCACGGCGTAATAATTATATTATGCATAGGCACTTCTTGAAATTTGAATCAGGTTGAATCATAAGCCTCATAATAATTATTTTATGCGTAGGCACCAATTTTCATGATATTTATATTATGCATAAGCACTAATATGTATTATATCATTTAATTCAATCACTAACTATGTCAGTAATTAATTAATATCATCTTCTAAGTCAGAAAATACTTATTATATATTAAATTGAGAACTAATTATCATGAATGATTTAGTAAATCAAAAGGGCAGACATACTAATTATAAATTTATTTCTAAAAATCAAGTCATAGAAAATACTTATTACATATTAAATTGTTAACTAATTATCATGAATGATTTATTAAATCTAAAAGGCAAACATACTAATTATATATTTATTTCCAAAAATATTGTTGATACCATTTCCAAAAGAAGCATTTACTGCTATCATTAGTAACATCAATTCCATCAACTCCCTCTTTATATATATATAGATATAGCTTTATTTTGAATTCCTCCTAATATAATCCATACTTAGTTTGTTCAGGTAAATTTTCATAACTATCAAGTGTTTCTTCATGGATAAATCTTGGATTAAGTTGCCACGAAATACAATATATATTATACAAATGAGTAATGATCACCTACCCACGGTGGGTGCATATTAATATGCCCACCGTTTATGTGGCATGTGCACATTGGTGATGTTAATATGTTAAAAAAATACATCACCAATGAGTGCATGCCACATAAGCAGTGGGCATATTAATATGTGCCCACCGTGGGTTGGTGATCATTACTCTTTTGTAAATATCTAGAATTTTCTTTCTAGACTAATAATTTGTGTGTCAAGTCAACTTAATTGATTTCAATATTTATTTTGTGATTATATTTGCAATTTTATCGTGCATATTCAAATAATATTTTCTATAAAAAAAACTATATAATAGTGCTTTTTTGAAGACATGTTGTAGAAACAGCATATACCAAAAAAATAAAAAAATTGCGGTGATTACTTCGTAATTAATATAATGAATCGGATTTTATTGTGATTATTATCACAAATTAATGTCCGAATTCAATACCATCTACGTGCCGGAGCCGTGATTTTTGCTCATTTTTCTTTTGCTCTTTCTTTTCTTTCTTTCCTTTTCTCCTTATTTTCCTTTTCTTCTCTTCTTTTGCTCCAATTTCTTATATTTATTTATCTATTTTTATTTTTATTTTATTTTATTTTATTATTTTTTTTATCTATTTATTATTTATTTATTTATTTATTTGTTTTCTTTCTTTTTTTCTTTTTTCTCTCTCACCACCGTTTCTCTTGGGTTTCATCTCTAGCCTACCCTAACTTGTTTGGGATTAAAATGCTTTGTTGTTGTTGTAATGTCCGAATTCAATACCATTTTATTTATATTGAAAATCATGCTATTAACCAAATTGCAAGATTTGCAACAGTTAGATATAGTTTGAAAATTTTATTTCAAATATATTGAAGTAGTTTGTACTATATTTCCTTTATGAATAAGTCAACCAGTTTAATTACAAAGTAAAAATTACTATTTTAGATTATTCCAACAACCTCTTCCAATATAGTAGTACGAATATTGTGCATCATAAAAGATATTCATTAAATATTAAATTAAAAATATTCATTAAATAATATTTATAAATTAAAAATATAGAATCAAAATGTAATACAATTTACCTATATTAATTTATTTAAAATGTCATATCCTTAAGCACTACAGTAAACTCTCTTCAAGCAAGAAAAATGATGAAAGCAAGAAAGGCAAGTTTAGGGCGTGATTTTATATGATTTCTACAATAAATATCCCACTCAAAACTTAAATTTAATTCAATTTTAACTCAACTCCACTATCTCTAATATTATCAATATAATTAAATAATATCAACCAATCATTATTGCACATCACATCAACTTTAATTCACTATTCATCCACTCACATAATTTTAACTAACTTTCACTTCTAATCATTTTCTCCTACTTTACATCAAATCAACTTTAATTATTTTAATTTAAATATTATTTTAATATATCCACTAACAACTAATCATACTATTTTTTTTCAAACTTAACTATAGTTAAAGAAAACTAGTTTTTTCTAGTTGAATTCATATCCAATCACCCCCTAAAGACTTGGGGACTTTACTACGCTTGGATTCTTCTTGTCTTGTTTACTAGCCTTGTAAATCTTTTGTCTTTATCAATTGGGCCTAACCACACCGGTTTTGCTATGAAGCCAACAGTTGGCACCACAGTGAAGCCATCTTCAAGTAAACCTACAACATTCGTCGATTACTTAAATAACATAATATAATTTTATTAATATGGTAGGTTTACTTGTTATATATAGAAGATTGTTGTCTTAATAGCAAAATCGCTAACCACTAATCAATATGTCTATTGTAAAATCCAAATCACTTAAAAAATAAACAAAACCAAATTATTTACAACTAAGTTTTTTTAAAAATAAACAAAACCAAATTACTCACTTGCCAAATCGGTTCACAGACATTTGCTCCAGAAGGCCACTGCTGTCACATACTCGCATTCCCATCTCATCAGCCATCTCATCTCGGCATCTCGCTACCGGCCGCCGCTCCCGCTGCTCTCAGTCGCGGCAGCTGCTGATTTCCGGCCGCTCCGGACGGCCACAACAACAATTGCTCCAGAAGGCCAAAGGCCACGGAATACACTGTAAGCCATCTTCTTCTTGTATGTAATTTTGTTTGATTTATTCAAGGTAACTGTTCAAGGGCCGAAAAATGGAGGTATTGGGTGTGAGGGTAAAGGTAGTGAAAATTGGGGCCGAAAAAAGAGTGAAAATTGTGTGGGCTATGGAAGGGCCGAAAGGTTGAACTCTGTTCCCTTTTGCCCGTCTGGGGGCCTCGCCGCCTCGTACTGCGTGTCGGGGATCTGACTTGAGGGTGAGGGTGAGGGATTGAGGGTAATCGCGTGAGATCCGGGTAAGCGGGTAAAAATAACCCGACCTAACTCGATCGGCTGCAACAATTGGGGTACCCGGTTACCTGGCGGGTACCCAACTACCAGACGGGTAAAACACAACCCAAACCTGGTGCTGGATAATCGGATAGCGGTCTGGGTACGGGTGCATTTTTTAGCAGGCGAGTTAGGTGCGGGTATGCCAAAACCCGCACCCGGCCCGACCAATTTACATTCCTAGGTAATTTATGTATTATCATATCTCAGCAGCTTTGTACTTGTTAGGCATGGCTATGGTATATTTCCTTTATTTTCATGTATCATTTATTGCAATTTCTTTGTTAAGTTAAATTAATTAAGCTATCCTAATCCTAATTTAAAACCTACTTCTACATTAAACTTAAATCTCATTCGGATCAGCCTTACAAAAGCCTAAGAAAAGCAGGTTTCTTCCACTTCATTTAAAACACTTCATCCCCACTTATTCCAAAACTTCACGCCTAGCAAATTTGCATTCTGTAATATTCTCTCTCTTTGCTAGAGCTGGACATTAATGCTTTTCCAGTGGATGCTTAATCTGGCGTCACCTATGGCGGTGGTTTGGTGTCTGAGGGCGGTGTGGATTGCGGCGATTTCACCGATCGCGATTGCATCCTTTCCGTCATCCAAAGTCGGCTTTTTTCATCAGTTATTTCTTAAGCTCAGTGGGCGGGGCAAGACTATGGACGCATCCTCTAAAGTAAATATATTTATATTTTGAAAAAAATCTGTGATTAAATTATGCTTATGCAATGTGAAGCGAGATCAGTTGAGTTGATTCAGGGAATTGTTGTGTGTATGTTTGTTTTTCATTCTCTGTTTTCTTTTGCAGTTAGCTGTTTTTGTTTTTGTTTTCTGCAGTTGAGTTACTATGTTTCTCTAGGGTTCCAGTGGATCTTAGGAATGTTGCAGGAAAGAGTTGAACATTTTTCTTTTAGGTTTTTAGCTAATTGAGCAATTTATGTTCTGATTTCGTACTGTAAATTACCAATTGGGTCTCTTGGGGGGATGAACTCGGGAGTATATTAACTGATTAATGTGATTGTCATAAACAAGAAAGAGTATATAGCTATTTGACTCTGTAATAAAAAATGACTAAATTGTTATTTGACTCTATATAGCTGACTAGTGTGATTGTCATAAACTCATGAGCCGCATTTTGCTGCCTATCGCATGAAACTAGGCCACATTAAGGGTTAGTATTTAATAATATTGTTTTAACAGCTTTATAATTAGCTTGTTATGTGATTTTACAACAGAAAAATGATCAATTTTATGTATATTGGGTATTGGGTGCGCTTGGTCTTTCACTTTTCAACTATAATGGCACAATTTTTACCAGCTTTTCAGTTACATGCTGCCTCCTTGTAATGCAGAGACTGAGTGTCCCCCAGAATTTCTTTGGTCACTTTTACATACTTGCAGTTGTATGGACTACTTTTCTGCTTGTAGCCACGTGGCTATATGCTCTCAAGACAGCTCCAAGAGTTATTGAGCCTGTGCTGTTTTCGAGCATATCTAGCCATTTGACTGGGATTTCGCATGAGTTGTTCTCGCGAAAATCTCATTCATCACTGAACTACAAGTATGGGCTTTGGAAATCTGTGTTTCTGCTTTTGTTGATGGAAATTCAAGTATTGCGACGTCTTTTCGAGACTATATACGTATTCAAGTACAGCCCCTCAGCTCGGATGCATATTGCTGCCTATCTCACTGGACTAATGTAAGTGTCGTTTCAGATTGCACGTGTTTGTGTTAATTTCTGTATGAGATCATATAGCTGATTCTCATAATGCAGTTTTGCAGTGTGGTGACTGCAATTTTCTGATATTTGTTGTTAGTGATACGTATGACTGATATGATGCAGTAAATAGTAATCCTTGCTTGAGTATATGGGACATCTTTATGTTCATTGGCTTGGGTAAAGGTTATATAGTTATTATACTATTTTGTGTCTCTTGAAAAATTATGTCGATTGTTGAACGACATTAAGTACCCATTTTGAACTGAAAAAATTTAAAATATAAGGGTGTAATTAATATTCCATTCGTTCTGATCACTTATCATTCTTGAAAACAGTTTCTATACAGCAGCTCCACTATCCCTCTGCTCCTCTTATGCTTTGGACGTATTCAAATTTGTGGTGAATGTGTTCACAGAATTTGTTGTTAAGGGGAAGGATAGAATGGAATTCACAGAATTTGATATATGGGGCCTTGTGAGTCCACTTATACAGCTCAAATGGTACACGTGGGTTGGTGCAGCTATATTCTCCTGGGGTTGGATTCATCAACGCCGTTGCCATGTCATTCTTGTAAGTCCTATACTTTTATATACCATAAACCACTCCACTTTTTTTTTTTTTTTCATTCTCTATGTCAGTATGTCCTTATACATGGGCGTTAACAAAGAGATAAAATTATTCATTCGACATGGAAAGCACGGTGGATTACACTCTATGCAAGCGGCAATAGCATAAATTTGTACCTGCTTAACATCAGTTCGTTTGAATTCTGAATGAATGGGTATAATTTTACAAGTGTATATGAACATGTAACTTTGTTTCTTGTGTTTTTTTCTCTTTCGCTATCTTTAAAACTGTTGTCATTTACGCAAAAAGAATACTTATAGATCATCTTATGCTAGACATAAGTTTTTGTCCCAAAACTCATAAGGCTCCATCTTTTGTTGAAACTTGAAAAGTAACACAGGAATTGATGGTGGTTTGCGTTTGCATTTGCCAGTGATTGTCAGCAAGTATATGATTTATTTTGTGTTGCACCATAATAATTTCTCATGTTCTAAGTTGGGACAAGTGATGACTGATAGTTATACATTTGTTTGGACCACTTGGAACGTGTGCCTATTCGTTTGAGATACCTTTTACTGCTACTTTATTCCATATATCATTAGTAGTTCACTTCAGTTTAATCTCTGTCGTCTTGATTCTTGAAATTGTCAGGGATCTTTGAGGGAGAATGACCAAAAGGTCTACGATTATGAAATTCCACGTGGCGACTGGTTTGAATATGTTTCCTCTCCACATTATCTTGCAGAAATTGTGAGTCATTTTGATATTCATCTACCTCTTTGGTAACACTTCCCTAGTAATTAATCTAATAGTTTGCCTCTTGGAGTTATTACGTTTTTAATTTTTACCTTTATTTGTGGAGGTCATATATGGCGGGCTCGTGATTGCTAGTGGATTTTTTGATTTCACGATGTGGTTACTCTTTGGATTTGTGGTACGTCTTGATTTCAAAAGATATCAGTGAAAGAATCACGATATGCTCCATCAACCTCTATAAATACCAAAAAAAAGAAAAAAAAAATGTAGATGGATTATTTTTCAGAGTCCATTGCAAATGGAGCTGGAAGAGTCAATATTGACAATTCTTCTGGCATCG